CTAGTTACTGCTTTCTCTGTTCTACTTAAAAAAAATCTTTGCCCATCATTTTATTTTTCATGTTTAAGTCTGTGATTCATCTCAAATTTATTTTTTGTATGGTGTGGAGTATGGTCAAAGTATTCATTTTTTGTGTTTTTTTTCCCCTGTTGGATAGACAATTAATCTAATAACATTTATTTAAAAGGACCATTCCTTATATACCACAATGCCCATGAGTCAGGTGATGTGATATGTGAATCTCATTCCAGAGAGCTTCTCTTGCTTTGGTTTATTTACTACACTGTTTTCATTTCTATAGAATTATATTAAGACTGATATCTGGTGGCTCATATCCTCTAACCATTTACTTTCAAGATTTACATGGTAACTCTTGGCCCTTTGCATTTCCATATAAAATTTAGAATCAGCTTGTCAGTTTACACACACACACACACAAAATCCTGCTTGAATTTGTATTGGGTTTCTATTGACTCAGTAGATCAATTTGTGGACCATTAACATATTTACGTTTTTGAGTTTTAAATTCATGAACATGATATATCCCTCCATTTTTGAAGTCTTCTTTAATTTCTCTTAACATATTCCAGTTTACATTATAGAAGTCTTGAACATCATTTATTAGATTTATTCCTAGATATCTTTTTCAAAATTTTATTTTCTAATTGTTTATTTCTTAAACATGCAATCATTTGACCTTGAATCCAGCAATTTTGCTAAATTTTCTTTTAAATTCAATAGTTTATCTGCCTATTCTTTTTGATATGCTGCATAAACAATCATGTCATTTGTGAATAATTATCATATTTTTAAATTCTTTCCTTTCCTGTATCTTTTATTTATTTCTTTTATTTTATTGCATTGGCTAGAAACTCCAGTACAATGTCGAATGGAAGAGATAATATTGGTTTTACATAGTCATTATAAAGCATGATATTTCCTGTAAATTTATGGCAGATATCCTTTATCAGATTAAGGAAATTCCTTTTGCTATCTAATTTGCTGAAAGACTTATCTAATTTATCACTCTGCATCTATTGAGATAGTCATATCTGTTTCTCCTTTACTTTGTTGATGTTTTGTATTACATTGATTGATCTTTGGAAAGCTAACCAGCTTTGAATTACTAGAATAAATCAATCTTGGTCATGATGTGTTATATATGATTATCTTGTGTGTGGTGTATGTGTTTGTGTGTGTGTGATTGCTAATATTTTTTTATTCAAGTATTGTAAGATTGGTTTAATATTTTTAAATTAGTCAATGAAATTCCTATTTTGACCATTATACCATCCTCTGTAAGTACTGCTGTGTTCAGTTTCTTAATATTTTGTTTAGAAAATTTGCATTTATGTTCTCAAAAGATGTTGAACTCTAATTTATTTATTTCTTTTAATGCCCTTGTTAGGTTTGGGCATCAAGATTATGCTAGTCTTATAAAATGTTTTGGAAAGTATTCATTCTTTTCTATTCTCTGGAATTATTTATGTAACATTAATATTATTTTTCTTTATATCTTTGCAATAATTCAGCAGTAAAGCAATCTGGATGTGAGTTTTTGTTGTTAGGTTTTTAATTACTGATTTAATTTCTTCAATAGCTCTAAATTTTAAAAATATTTTTAATATCTTATTTAATAAGTTTTAGTATGTTGTGCTTTTTAAGGAATGTATTTCATTTACATTTGCTAAGTTATTGGTATAATGTTGTTCATTATATCCTCTTATTATATTTTAACGTGTATGGGGTCTGTACTGAGATCTCTATTTTAATTCTTGATAATGGTAACATTTTAAAATTTCTTTCTCTTGATTACTTTTACTAGGCATTTAAAATTTTTTCTAAGATTTTTTTGAAAAACAACTATTAACTTAATCTTCTGTAGTGTATAACTAGTTTCTATTTTATTGATTTCTGATTTATTATTTCCTTTCTGATACTTTCTTTGAGCTTAATTTGGTGTTCTCTGTTCATTAATTCTTGATATGGAAGCTTAGATAATTTTGTTTTGGCTTTTATTTTTTCTAACAGATATATTTAAACCTGTAAATTTTTCTCCAAAAGTGCTGTATTTGCTTCCCACAATCTTCATATTTTCATTATCATGATACAGAAAAATTGTCTAATTTTCCTTTTGATATCTTCTTCTATCCATAGTTTATTTTAAAGTGTGTTACTTAATTTTCAAACACTTGGAGATTTTTTAGTTATCATTCTTTTGTTTTAATCCTTTGAAACTTTTTGAAACATGTTTTATAGCCCAGAATATGGACAGTTTTGGTAAAATGTTACATATGCCTTTGAAAAGAAGGTGTAGTTGTTTTATGTCATTTTCTATAAATTTCTCTTAGGAAAGTATGATTTACTGTGTTTTTTTTCCTCCACTTGTTCTCTCAGTTATTGATGGGAATTTGTAAAATACCTGTGTTACTTTCCTAGGGCTGCCATAACAAATTACCACAAATTTAGTAGCTTTAAACGATAGAAATTTATTCTCTCTTAGTTCAGAGGTCAGCAGTCCAAAATCAAGGTGTCAGCAAGGTTGGTTCCTTTTCCTGGGAGAAAGAATCTGTCCTATGCCTCTCTCCTACCCCTGGTGGCTGCTGCAATCCTTGGCATTCCTTGGCTTATAGATGCATCCCTCCAATATCTGCCGCCATTGCACATTGCCTTCTCCTCTGTGTGTGTGTCCCCTTCCCTTCTGTCTCTTACAAACACTGTGGTCTTTAGATTGAAGATATACTCTGTTAATCCAAGATGATCTCATCTCAAGATCCTTAACTTAATTATATCTTCAAAGACCCTTGTGCCAAATAAGTTCACATTCACAGGTACTATGCGTTAGGACATGGAATATCTTTTTAGGGAATCACCATTTAAACTGCTACAATCACCAAATATGACTGGATTTGTCTATCTCTCCTATCAGCTATAGGGATTTTTCTTTATGTAATTTAAAAGCTATGTTATTACATACATGAAAATTTTGAATTATTATATTTTCCTGCTTAATTGACTCTTTTATCATAATGAAATGTCCCTCTTTACCTTTCATAATATTTCTTGCCTTAAAATCTATTTTGTATGATATCAATATAGATACACCAGCCTTCTTTTTTTGTTTCCTGTTTTTGTATTACATATGTTTCAAATCTTTTACTTTCATCCATTCTTTGTTCTATATTTAAAATTTACCTGGGAATTCCCTGGCAGTCCAGTGGTTAGGACTCTGTGCTTTCACTGCTGAGAGACTGGGTTCAATCCCTGGTCAGGGAACTAAAATTCCACAAGCCGCCCAGCACATCCAAAAAATAAAATAAAATAAAATAAAATAGATCTCTTGTAAACATCATATACTCAGATTTTGTTGTTTCATTCAGTCTGAAAATCTTTGCTTTTAATTAGAATGTTTAGGACATTTCAGGTTAATATAGTTACTGATATAGTTAGGTTTAAACTAACTATAGTTATAGGTTAGTTAGTTATAGGTTTCTCACATTTTAAAATTAATCAAGTATTTTTATTGTTCTATTTTTTTCTCCTCAAGAACATTTTAGCTGTACTTTATTTTCTTATTAATGCTATCTTAGAGACTCCAATATAGATCCTTGATTTATTATAATCTAATTAATTATAACCTATTATAATTATATAATCTAATTTATTATAAATAATGCTTTTTACCACTTCCCAAACAATGCAAGAACCATAGCAGTTTAACTCCATTGATGCTCTCCTGCCATTTTCTACTGTTTTTTTTACATATATTATATATCTCACCAGACAGTATAGTTGCTGCTTTTATAAAAGTGGTATTTATTTATATTTATCTACACATTAACTCTTTCTGTTACACTTCCTCCATATTGCAGTTCTATCAGTTCTATGTGACACTATTTTCCTTCAGCCTAAAGAATTCTTTCTAAGCATTTTTGTATTGCAGGTCTTCTGGCAATAAATGCTTTAAACATCTTTCTACGTATGGTTCCTCTGTTACTCTTTTGTCTATTTACGATCCTTTTGTCAATCTGTGTTGTGTCCTGGATATTTTTTTCTGTCCTAGTTTCCAGTTCATTGATTTTTCTTCAACTGTGTCTAAACTGCAACTAATCTTATCCAAATTCTTAATTTCAGTATCAAATGCCCCCTCCTGGTTCAACTAACCTTCCCCGGGGGGAAAGTAGCCCAAATGCTTGGCTCTCACCTGGATTTTAACCTTCTGTGAAACCAGTTTGTTAGCACTCTGATGCATTCTGTATGTTTTATATTTTACCCAGCATTTTTTCTCTGCGGGTGAGATGGGTGGAGTGATGTTTGATTTGAATTATTGAGATTACCATTACCAGAAGCAGAAGCTTCCTAAAGAATTTTCATTTTTAATTTTAAGTGTTTTGGAATTTTGGATGATGTTACTTAGTTCCAGTTATATACTGTTAGAACAACACAACTTTTTCTAACTATGTACTAGTCTTACTTCTAATTTTTAAGTGTATTTAGCTTTTTTTTGGTGGACTACTATATGATCACTTTTACATGGGTATAATATTATGATATCAAAATTAGGCTTGATAAAATGGGTTGCTAAGTTCTCTCCTTTACCTCTTGGAAACACCTGAAATTACATTTAGAAGTATATATTACTTGAAACTATGATAGAATTATAGGTGAAATTTTTTCTTCTATTTTTACAAGTTTCTTGGTCTATTCTAGCTTTCTATATCTGCTTTAATGAATATTAGTAATTTATATTTCCATTTATATCATTTAGCTTTCCAAAATGTTTAACATCCAGTAGTCTACAGTTTCATAAATATTCTCATGTTTACCCAGATATACTCAAATTCTACTTAGTTATGTCCACCTAAATTACAACTTCATAAAAACTTATCTCTATTAGCAAAGATTAAAAGCAAATAATGAAGGTAAAAATAGTTACAATTTAGTGACTCATTTGATTTCTCTCACTAGTTATTTTAATTCACTGCTTTCCCTTTTCCCAGGCATTCCTTGTGGGCCACCCCCAGCCATCGCCAATGGAGATTTCATTAGCACCGACAGAGAATACTTTCAATACGGAACAGTGGTGACCTATCGCTGCAATCTTGGAGAGAGAAGGCAGAAGCTGTTTGACCTCGTGGGTGAGCCGTCAATATATTGCACCAGTGAAGACAATCAAGTTGGCATCTGGAGTGGCCCTCCCCCTCAGTGCATTGCACCTAATAAATGCACGCCTCCAGTCATTGAAAATGGAATAAGGATGTCTGAGAACAAAAGCTTATTTTCTTTACGTGAAAGCGTGAGGTTTAGGTGTCAGCCCGGCTTTGCCATGAAAGGACCCTCCACTGTTGAATGCCAGGCCCAAAACAAGTGGGGGCCGGAGTTGCCCAGCTGCTCCAGGGGTGAGTCTGACTGAGGCTTTGAAGGGGCCTACAAATGACGTGAGTTGTAGGAAGATAGGGAGGTTAGTGTCGGTTCTGCAGGGAGGATGTGTGGTGAGCAGTGTGGATGGGTAAATTTTCTTGGGAGGAAACATTAAATAAAGCAGGTGTGTGTGTGTGTGTGTGTGTGAATGTGTATGTGTTCAAACTCAGAAGCAAAAATAAATCTGGGTAAAGAATGTAAAATTTCCTTGGGATGACACTAGTGACATCATCTTTCAGTTCTTTCTTTTTTTCAGTTAAAATAATCTTTTTAAAAAAATTTATTAATTACTCTTGAGTGTTTTAACTGCGAATATGTAATGACTGATTCTTCTTGTTAGGCACCGCTGTATAATCTATGGATTCACTTAGTTTTTTTTTTTATTAAATTTATTTATTTATTTATTTGTTTATTTTTTGGCTGCATTGGGTCTTCGTTGCTGCATGCAGGCTTTCTCTAGTTGCAGTGAGCAGAGGCTACTCTTTGTTGCGGTGCGCGGACTTCTCATTGCGGTGGCTTCTCTTGTGGAGCACGGGCTCTAGGCACACGGACTTCACTAGTTGTGGCACGCGGGTTCAGTAGTAGTGGCTCGCGGGCTGTAGATCGCAGGCTCACTAGTTGTGGCGCATGGGCTTAGTTGCTCCGCGGCATGTGGGATCTTCGTGGACCAGGGCTCGAACCTGTGTCCCCTGCATTGGCAGGCAGATTCTTAACCACTGTGCCACCAGGGAAGCCCCACTTAATTCTTAAAACAAAGACATGAGGTAGTTACTATTCTTTCCATGTTTTACAGAGAAAGTGAGTCTTAGAGAGATTAGATAACTGTGCAAGATTAAATAGATACTAACTCTGTGAAGACAAGAACCCAAGCCTACCTGACTCCAGAGCCAGGGAAATCGAAAGCTACTCTAGAAATTGCAAGGAGTGAGGGATTTAGTGCAGGTAAGAGAATATAAAGGTGTTAAAAGGGCAGGAAGAGCAAAAGGAGGAAGGCAGTGTTCCCAGAGCTCAGGGGGCTGCCATTCCTCCTGGACTAGAGCACAGGCACCTGCACTCACTGAGCATGTATTTCCTCCAGCTGCTCACGCTGCAGAAGCTGCTGCTGCTGCCAGAACATAGCTGAGGTTGCTGGAGCCTTCAGTCACTGGCATTGATAGAATTAATGTTGCTGCTGCTAAGGAAGAGCCATCAGTTGCCACTTCCTGAGCCTCCTTTACAAGAAGAATGACTTCTATCATCTTCCTACCTTTTAATTTAGTATATATGCCTCCAATTGTCAGAGCTTAACTAGGACCCAGCTGGCAAGGAAGATTAGCAGTTGTACTTTCAGGCTTCTGGCCCCAGCAGTGAAAGGAGAATGCAGAAGTGTAAGGCTGGGAGTCAACAGAGATTTAACCAGCACAGCACTTAAATGATCCCATCACAGTGCACTTATTAATCAAGGCAAACAGCGGGGTGATGAGCCCTGAAACTGGGTGCTATAGCATCAGAGTATTTACAAAGTCCTTAAGGGGGTCATTTATTCTAGTCCAATGCCCCATTCTATACTTGAGAAAGCTACAGGCCAGAGAGAGAAACTGACCTGATCTAAGCCAAAATGAAATGACTTTTCATGTTACTACAGTTTTATATAATTTAGGAGATTCAAGTGCATTCTGATTCTAAATTCAAACCAAGTGTATAAAGAGACAGAGGCTCAGTTACAACATATGGTATGGAATATGCACTCTCATTGTGAGGGCTGTAGGTTTTTTAGAAGATTTCATTCAATGGTTGCCCATCTTCTCATTGGAATGAAGTGAATGGTTAAGCAGGACCTGGTCCTGTAGAGTGCAGAAAGGAGACTTATCTTCTCCACCAACCCATGTCAGGTGGCGTGACCACTGGAGAGGAGCTGGAAAGAGATGAGAAGAGATGTATGAATCTTGTTTGTCACAGCAGAGTGTGATAGGTGATTGGGGTATCTGTTGGATGAGATTTGGGCTCAAGCTTTCCTTATTGCCATAAAGGCAGATATAAATTGGTGGTGCCAATAAAAATTAAAATATAAAATTAAAAATCCATCAATAGGGGCTTCCCTGGTGGCGCAGTGGTTGAGAGTCCGCCTGCCGAGGTAGGGGACACGGGTTTGAGCCCCGGTCTGGGAAGATCCCACATGCCGCGGAGCGGCTGGGCCCGTGAGCCATGGCCGCTGAGCCTGCACGTCCGGAGCCTGTGCTCCGCAACAGGAGAGGCCATAACAGTGCGAGGCCCGTCTACTGCAAAAATAAATAAATAAAATCCATCAATCTAACAACTGTGTACTAAGTGAACAATAAAAGGAAGAATTGTGTAGGGGAACTGTTTGTTGTGTCATCTTGGGTGTGTACTTTAGATGGAAAACCATGAACTGAAGATATCTCAGTTCTAGTCACTGTCCTGCAGTGTATCAGTTCTATGACTTTTCACAAGACTCTCTCTCTCTCTCTCTCTCTCTCTCTCTCTGTCTCTGTCTCTGTTCAATTTTGCCATCAATAAAACGAGAGGGTGTTAGTCTACCAGATTTTTAAAAACAAATACATTTATGCTGTTGATTGTCTTAGCCAGTTTACCACTGAGGAAAAGTTATTTTCACACAATTAACAGTACTTTGGTTCTCTTTCCCTAGTATGTCAGCCACCTCCAAAAGTCCCGCATGGTAAACACACCCCAAGCCACAGGAACAACTTTTCTTCTGGGCAGGAAGTGTTCTACAGCTGTGAGCCTGGCTATGATCTCAGAGGGGCTGCTTCTCTGCATTGTACGCCCCAGGGAGACTGGAGCCCGTCAGCCCCCAAATGTGCAGGTGCCTATACTGTCATCTTGTATGTGGATCAGTCTCTTTGTCCCTCACAGGAACATCTCACTCCTGTGTGTGTGTGTTTTTTCCTAGTGAAATCATGTGCTGACTTCCTGGACCAGTTACCTAATGGACATGTACTCTTTCCACTTAATTTTCAGCTTGGAGCAAAAGTATCCTTCGTTTGTGATGAGGGGTGAGTGTGAGTTTGCCTGGCCTACCGAGCACTGAAACTGAGGTCAATTCAAAAAGGCAAGGTTTAGTGTGATTTTTAAAATAGGAAATACTCAGGGATGTTAAATTTGGGGAGTGTATATGGGAAGTTAAGAGTAAGGAACAGGTGTAACTAATAACATAACATATGAAGGAAAAACTGACACGTATATTAGCTGGCATGCTTAAACACAAATACAACTACTGTTTAAGAGTATACATAGGTGACACATTAAGTGAAAAAATCATATTTTCCAAGCATAAAAGAAAAAGAGTAATTTGGAGAGTTCCAGAAAAAGTTTGATATGTGACAAAAATCTTATTAAAAATAAGATCATTTAAGACTTATATCAGAAAATATTTTAACCATCCAAAGTGAATTTTGAAATAAGAGAGAAAGTATAAGAATAAGCATTTTTCATCCAGTCATATATCACCTGGTTGCTAACAGGCCAAGGGCTCTGAAATGGTATTATGGTGGCTGATATTAAAGTTTTAAGTAAGGTCATTCACTTGACCTTACACAGCATGCGCATCTCTACATGGGAAGTATCAAGCATGGGCAACAAAGTACCTGATCTCAAAATGTTCCAAAGAATCCTTGACAGGCACCAAATAACATTTAGGAGAATTTTGTACAAGAGTCATTTCCAATCTCCTTTCGTTTTTCCCCCCAGAACATTCACGCTTACTCTTCCGTAGCCCAGCGTGCTGTTGTGAGCCTTCTGCATAACCACCACAAATATAGAGACAAAAGAACAATCTTTGTTCTCTTTCCAGCTATTCTCTGCTTGTCCAGTGCAAACTGGGAGCTGTTTTACTAGCTGTTCCAGTGTCATCACTTGGAGGATGTTTTATTCCAATAATGACTAAGTAGATTTATCAGCTTTACCGTGGGATGCACAGTGAGAGACTGATTTCTCTGAGCCTAGGTCCAGGATCACGGCGATGGCAGCTGTGCTACAACTGCCTTCTTCAACTTAGGCTGGGACTATATTATGTGACCACGTGACTGTGCTTTGCTGTTCTCCCTCACTGGAAGCTGTGACTTTTCCAGATTGATGTGGCCTCTGAACCTCTGCCACCTGCTGGTTTCAGATCCTCAAAATGCTGAGATTTTTGCAAATGGAATGGCATTTTGGCTTAAGCAGCTCACATATTCACTACCATTTTCTTCCTTAGATTCCAGTTAAAAGGCAATTCTGCTAGTTACTGTGTCTTGGTTGGAATGGAAAGCCTTTGGAACAGCAGCATTCCTGTGTGTGAACGTGAGTAGAAGGGATAACACTTCAGGCCAATCTCTCCCTTTAATCTATTTGGTAATTTGACCCATGGCCTCCCCAGCCGTGGTTCTTCTATTTTCTAATCTGAATTATTGGTAAATAGTTGCTTATTTTAATAGTATTTTATTGGGGATCAATTTGTTGTGATGCACTTTGTTGTGCATCATGTGTTTTGAGAACTATCTGATCAATCTCTGTCATTTAGAATTCTTTGTTTTACATGATAAATCCTGCTGTAGTTTGTCTCTGAATCAGGAGAGATTAGCTAACGTGAAGCTTTGACAAATTTCTTTCTTTCTTTTTTCCTTCCTTCCTTCTTCCTTTTACTTTTTTATGCCATCAAGGTGAAGTCACTCTACAATATTCCTGTCTATTTGCTAATATACAAATATGAAACATTCATTCATTCAATTATTTATTGAGCACATACTATGTGCTTGATGTTCTTCCAGGCACCGGTGTTATAGCAGTGAACAAGATGAGCAAATTCCCTATCCCATGTTATTTATACTCAAGTAGGAAGATGTACAAGAAAGAAAATAAATTAAATCTTATGGAGATGATAGGTCAGAGCAATGCAGAAATGAGGGGAAAGTGGGGAACAGCATTACGCAGGGTGAGCAGTTTAATACTCCTTAAACTCTCAAAATTTGCATCTAAATAAATTATGCAAAGATTCAGAAATAATGAGCTGATTAAAAAACGAGTCTCCTATGTGCAATGCCACCACTGATTTCTCCTAGTCCACCCATTTGTATTTTCCCCAATAGAAGATAGGACTTTGCCTCATCACTTGATCCTAAAGATTGGAAAATATATAAATTTTAAACTAATCCAAATTTTACTAAAATGTTTATGTTGCAAGAAATCTGCTCAGTTATCCTATGACACATTTTATAGTAAAACTTTATTAAAAAAACATAACTTCTGTATAGATCCTGTCATCCAAGAAACCCAACTTTCACTGAAGTAACATGACAAATGGCTGTCCACTGGCCTGGGTTAGAGCTCAGTTACTGATTGTACTATTCCTCTTACTTTTCATGACTGTTTCTAATTTAAGTAGCTTCTTACAAATCCCAAGCCTAATAAGAAACACTAAATAGAAATAAGGAAAGGACTGTTTAAACAGACAAGCAGATACCAGAAAGAAGTAACAATTTGAATCCTGACGGAAAGTAAAGAAATAAAAATAATAATAAGCAATCCCATGCATCAAAAAAAAACAATAACAAAACAGTATGGATCATTTAGAGTTTTTACAATGAACCGTATATGTTTCAATTCATTGTGACAGCACTACTGTCCTAATCGGTTGATGGTCACTATGGGTAAGTTATTAAGGAAAGGTTTCATATGATTAGGTGATTAGTACATATGGAATACATTGTAGAAATATTTCCTGAGAATGTAAGTTCCCTGGAGAACAGAGACTTTATCTGTGCTCTTCACCATTTCATCCAGCCGGCCCTGACGAGTGGCTGACACAGAATAAGTGCCCAATGTGTTGATTAAATGAATGAGTTACTCTCCAATAGATTCTCTTTCTTCTTTAAAAGTTTTGGTACGTAATTAAAGGTGTAAAGTTTCTATCATCCAGAAAACTTAAAAGTCTGGAAGATTCAGGATAGGCAAATTCTTTTGTACTTTTTCAATTAAAAAAAAATGGGATTGAAATCTCACTTCACTTAGTCCATTCAGTGTTTTTAGGTAGTACCAACTATAACACCCAATGACTATAGATTACCTGTGGTGAAAACTCATGAATGACACTTAGAGCTTTTGCCTTCTTTCCAGAAATCTTGTGTCCAGATCCTCCTGATATCCTTAATGGGAGACACACAGGCAAACCTCTGGAAGTCTTTCCTTTTGGAAAAGAAGTCACTTACACATGTGACCCGCACCCAGAGAGAGGGATGATCTTCAGCCTCACTGGGGAGAGCACCATCCGCTGTACCAGTGACAGTCAAGGGAACGGAATTTGGAGCAGCCCTGCCCCTCGCTGTGGACCTCCAGGTTACTGCGTGCTACCCCACATTCCAAATGGATTCAGAATATCTATACCAGACTCTCCAAGTTTCCGTAATTACAATGTGGTGTTTATTTGTGCACTCGATACACTTAAATGCCAAAACAATAATAAATGGTTTTAAGATACATCAACATGTAAGATTCTGATGATCTTTGCTTCTAGAGGGCTGGTGAAAAGCGATGGAGGAAGTGGGTGGCAGTTCTAGTTCTAATTAGAATTAGAAGGAAAATGTTTTCAAAGCATAGGAACTGAAAGCAAATACCTATGAACCTTAACTAGCATAAGTTGTACCATCTTCACAGGTTTTGGAGAGAAGCACAGACCAGCAGAGAACAAAGCCTGGCAAAATCGCTTTTAATTACCTATTTGTCCAGAGACCACTGTGTGTTCTCTCTGAAAACTGGGCTGCATTGTAAACAAAACACAAAGATTCTTTTAGCCAGTATGGGCTAAGTTCTAAGTTAAGATAAGGCTTACTTGCTCCTTAGCCCCGCACTAATTTCAGCTGTTGAAGTTTTCCCTCTTTGGTGGAAAGAAAAAGCAAAGCAATGTGAACTCAAGGGAAAAATGCAAAATAGAGTGTTTATTTCTAAGGTCTGGAGAAGGTATCCTAAGGTATCCAATACCACTATGACACCCACACTCAGGCAGTGAAGAAGGAAGGGGAAAGTAAATTGTGAAAGTGACCCTAGTCCCGGCATAACATACTGACTGCTGAGGAACTCTGAAATAAAAGAGCAGTTCTGAAAGGAAAGGGACCAAGAATGGATATTCAGAAGTCGTTTTTGCCCTCACTCTCCTTCTGTAACACCATGGCTTCAGCTTGGGGTGTCCCCATGAGCCTGTTTACAAACACAGACACCTAGTTCAGATTCACTACATCGAAAGTGAAAGGCAATCTTCCCCTAAGTTCTATGACTTTTTTCACCAGTACCCTATGCTGAGATGTCAGTCCTAGTTTTATCAGCTAGATTTTTTAGACTGGAGACCTGCCAGACCATCTTCATGTGTGATTTGGCCTTAGGTAGTAGATTTTAGTCGTAAGGGGGACTCCTTGAACTAGAAGCTAGTATAGCTAATATTCAAGCTCTAAAATGAAAAGAAACAGGCAATATAGATGGATGTATTTCCTGTGAAGCCACCTTGAAAATAAGTCAAATTTTCATATTGAGAAAAATCACTTAATTATATGTTAAAGAAATGAGAAATTGGTTTGTAAGTCTTCATACAGAGAATTATCTGGGTGCAGAATTGGCCCTAGCATAGCTTTTACTCTTTGAAAAAATAATTGAAAGGGAGGTGGAGGACAGCTGGAATAGAAACTAAAAGAGAAGTTAGTGTCAAAACCAAGTGGAAACGATTTCTATTTTTCCAAACATATACACTTTTTTGATTTCATACTACTTGAGTCCAAAGTGAGTTTTCACTTCTCAAACCTAGAGCTTTAGGTGTAGGGGCTTGGAGCTAAAGCTAGAATTTGATTCAACATATACTTCACACAATGTTTCAGTTTTGTTTTGTTGTTGTTTTTATTTTGAAGAGATGCTGTTTATTTCCTTGTTGTGTTGAAATAGCCAGCTTAGGAATCAGACCTGGAAAGTTGGTGGCTGCTTCCTAGTTTCAAAAAACATCTTGAGTCGTCCATTCTTGCTTGTAAGCATGGGTTTTGATACACTGAAGTACAAAGAAACCAGACCAGGTGTAACCTGGGCAGAAACACTCCTCTGTCTCCCTAAAAATGTGAAAAATTGAATTGGAGCTGTCTTTTACAGTAAATGATATGAGTAAAATGCCCAGATAGCAAAATAGCCTTCCGGATAGTATATTTTCTAATGGGCACATGCTAATGGAACTTTCCCTTCAAAGATTACAAGGAAATTATCTTTCCACAACTAAAAGTTTCTTTTGTTCTGATATCAAATCTAACAAGAAAGAGAAAAGGAAGAATGGCCTTGGGTATCTTTTTGTTAACTCTGATGTTCTTGATTTTTTGGTCTCTAGGTCACTGTAACACCCCAGATCACTTTCAATTTGCCAAGTTGAAACTCCAGACCAATGAATCTGAGTTTCCCATTGGGACATCTTTAAAGTATGAATGCCGCCCTGGGTACCACAGGAAGTCATTCTCTATCACGTGTCTACAAAACCTCACGTGGTCAAGTGCCAAAGATGTCTGTAAACGTGAGTAAGCCCTGCATTGGAGCGTTCCTATGTTTGTCAAAGTATCTCTAGGATCTTATTTAATTTCTCCAAATTTTAGAGATAAGAAAACTTTGTCAAACATGTTCACATAGGTGGAGGTCAGCGTTGGTCTTGTAGGTCACCCCTAATTATTGGTTGAAATGCTTGTCTCCTGAGAATGTTTCAAGGAATATTTGCAGGAGAACTCCATGTTTTTTATGGGGTAGTGAGTAATGAATTACTCCAGATCAGGAAAAAAATCTGTAAGGAGACATAAACTGTTTGAATAACGAGGTAATAAAAACTTTTATACTGGTGGGATATAAGGCCACAAATGACCTTTATATTTAGATAAGAGATTTGAGGCACAGATAGGAGAGATTTAGAGGGGAGGTCTCTTTGAAAGTGGTGCTTAGTGGGTGGCTGATCCCGAGGCAGTCTGGTGAGGTTCCTCAAGGTGAAAAAATCTGTAGAACCATCAGAATTGCATGTGCTCTTCAGAAAGCTGCAGTCAGGTGGGGACTGACTTGTTATACACTAACAAAAGTTCAAATTACTCTTCCTGGCTCCAAAATTCTCTTTCTTTCCCAAGGTAAATCATGTAATACTCCTCCAGATCCTGTGAACGGTGTGGTGCACATAGATACAGACACCCAGTTCGGATCCAGAATCATTTTTGCTTGTAATAGAGGGTGAGTGGGCAGGACCATCTCTTGGTTCAAGAGTTCCAGGACAGCGATACTACCTTCTGGTCCTATCTTGGAAAAGAGGACTAGGCTATTACCATCTGTTCTCAAGAAGCTTGAACATAGGTGTTTAACTCCTAATTGAAATGGACAAAGGTATGACAAGATTTGAGGGGAAATCTGTCTCCTTGCTGGAAACCAGGACAGTACATACAAGAAAAGTGAGGTATTCACCAGGTAGAAAGGAAGAAAATGGGGGGAGGGCATAGTCAAACCCTACAAACAGCACTTGCCCAGAGCAGACATTGCTGAAAGAAGGGGAAGGCCACGGAGCCACTGTGTAGAAAGCAGATCTTATAAGGTAACTGCACTCTTCGTTTGCTAGGGCTGCCATAACAAAGTAGGACAAACTGGGTATCTCAGAACAGCAACAAAAGTTTATTCTCTCAAGGTTCTGGAAGTTAGAGGTCCAAAATCAAGGTGCAGGCAGGACATGTTCCCTCCAGAGCCTCTGAGGGAGGATCCCTCCTTGCCTCTTCCAGATTATGGTGACCTCAGGGCTTCCTTGGCGTGTGGCGCATCACTCCCGTTTTTGCCTCTGTCTTCCCATTGCCATCTTCATTCTGTGTCTGTGTCTTCACATGGCACTCTCCTCTCTGTGTGGGTCTATGTCCAAAGTGCTCTCTTTTTGTAAGGACTCCAGTCATATTGGATTAGGGCCCACTCTAATAACCTCATCTTAACATGATTATATCTGCAAAGGCCCTATTTCCTAAAAAGGTCACATTCATGGGGATTGGGGGCTAGGGCTTCGACATACTTTTGGGGGTGCACTGCTCAACCCATAACAGAGTCCCCTGTGAAAATGTCAGACATAAAGTGTTTACTGGGCAGCAGTCCCACCCACAAGGGTGCTTACCCTTGCTCAGTCTCAAGCCCACTCCCAGTGGGAGCAGCTGAACCAGTTAGAGAATATGGGCTAAATTTGCACTGCCATGATAAACACTGAAAAGGAACTTGTGGCCTTCAGCATATTTGCTAACCAAGGCCTTACAGATCATAGTACCTATAATCTGACAAAGTGAAATTAGAGTAAATCTAAACACTTCTGTCTTTCTCCGAGCATTTTTAAGTACAATCTATAAATTCTCTGTCTGTACCCTCTTTATAATGTATTACGGAATGAGAGTGAACCTCTCAATGGCATAAAATAGAAAACCGTTGAGCTTATGATATGTTACAGGAAATTAATGTAAAAAGAGCAATCTGAAAAATCAGAAGAATTGTCCTCTTACAAAATAGAGTTACTTCTAAGAAATAAGAGAAACTTTTAGAAAAATCTCCTGTTTACGTTTTTAACAAGATTCAGTTGCACGCTGTTTCTGTGAAACTAGTTAGGAAATAGACAATGTTTGCATATGAATAAAAAACACAATTGTCAAACTAAAGAAAAATTCTGTGATAAACACACTGAATATTGTAGAAAATTAAAGCAGAGGGTAAGAAGATAAATGAATCAACTTCTCCCAGGATGAAGTGGAAAAGGATGAAGAAGAAGAGAAAAGAGAAGATATGTCTAAAAGAGTACTGGGATTCAAATTACATGTAACAAAAATTCCAGAAGGGACAACAATAAGCCCATATTTAGCCATCACTAGGTAATCATCTATATTTCAGGGATCATGAGAAAAACCTCAAGAATGCAGAAAGGAAATTAATAAACTATAATAGCTGGAAAAGAAATTAATTTGTATTGATATCACATTGATCCTTCACATCACTAAATTGCAGAAGATGGAGTTTCTAATGAGCTAAGCTAGTATTCACATCTAGAGGCTACAGATGTACAGTAAAGGATAAGCAAGGACCTAAAAATCACACCTGTGTACCTTACAGGAAGCATACTTCCTGGGAGAAGGAAAAAGATAAACTCAGGCAGTCCATAAGTATTTTCTTAAAGGATAATGATAAATGCTGGTGAGGTAGAAAATTGCCAAAAGTCAAACAAAAGAAAAACAAATTTTTAGAAAAGTTCAAATATTTTCAACAAAGTTATAAAATTTATACAATGACAGAACTAGTTGTTAAAAAGTGAAACTTGACAATGTAATCATAATCCAGTAACAATTTCTGAAGTCATAAAATATATCCATAAAACTAGAAAATAGAAGAAAGCAAAAAAAATCATAGTCTAGACTTTTATTACATAGGAGATGGGTAGACTGTATATATTTTGACACCAAAATTGAGAAAATAGGGTTGAATACCTGTGTTGTGTATGTATTGGGTTGGCCAAAAAGTTCACTTAGGTTTTTCCAGAGGATGTAGCGGAAAAACCTGAACGAACTTTTTGGCCAACTCAATATATAACACGTGAAATGAAATTTCAAAGGAACAAAAATTGGTTATTTAGCTTCCAAATTATTAGAGCAACTGAAAGAGGTTCACCTATCTGGTTCATGTAGCAAATGAGAGGGAAGAAAAGGGAATAGCATGGACTATATCCATCTCATTCACCAGAAATAAGCCCCCTCATATTTGGGGCAGATCGGCTGTATTCACTGCTGTGTGCTTACTACTGAACATCATGAAGGAACATTATGAAGTGATGACAAAAGCAAGATCAACCATACCATTTAGTTCAGTAAATTTGAATGGTTTAATATCCCTGTTGAAAAACAAAAGTTTCCAAATAGGATCAAAAGCATCACAAATCTTGTTGTATTTACAAGAAACATGCCTAAACTAAAATGCCATAGCAGTGTTAATATACAATATGTATATTTATGTATATCAGGAAAATGCAAAAAGAAACTTAAGTAACAATAATAATATAAGAAAAAACAGATTTTAAGAAGAAAATTATCAGGCAGGTCTACAAAAGTATTGTTTTATTTAGGTACTGGGTACAATCCAAAATGAAACCAAGAAATGAAGAAGCAGAGCGAGCCATGAGGAGTTAGAGAGGAAATATTCCTTTCAACAGTGAGAGGATAGAAAAAGAGAAATAAGAAAAGTCAGATAAAACAGGTGGAGTTTAGGCTAGTCCTTGAACTTCTTTCAGATTGTAGCCTTTCAGATTTGCCATGCATGTATGCATGCTGAGGAAATTGATGGGATGTGTACAGCATGCCTATTTTTCATTTTTGGTTTCAGGTATCAACTCATTGGTCACTCAGCTGCTGAATGTATTATCTCAGGCAATACTGTCTTCTGGGATTCAGAGCCACCAATCTGTGAACGTGAGTTGAAATCTCTAGCCCCATTTATTCCATGCTCAATCCTACAGTTGGCCCCTAGAATTACAAAGGATAAATTTCATCCCTTTTGGCAATAGTATCCTTCTGATATTTGAAGAAAACACTCCTACCCTTAAAGGTGCTCACAATGTTCCAAGCTTCTAGTTCCTCCTGATTTTTCCTTATCCTAGGGTATAATTTATTTTAAATAATAGTTTGGAAGTCATTTAGAAGAGCACCTAAATTCTTCTTTTGTTGGTTGAACACCTTCCAGGTTGAAGATTGTTCTCTTTAGTGAAGTAAATGAATACAAGGTTAGTGAAAGTGCCCTCCTTCCTGTCTGTCAACTCTTAATCCCAGGTCATCTGTTCAAGCGGTGGGCCCTCCCTGCTCTCTTATTCTTTGTCTGGACAGTGACATGCCATCTTTCCCATGAGTTGTTTGGAATATGAACTTTCTACACTTCAGGGCACATAGAGAAAGGAGCAGTTGCAAATTAACAAAGAACATAAAGATATAACCCTGGGTTTGGTGATAATATAAAAAAATCAGCTCGGTTCTTTGTGACCAGCTAGAGGGGTGGGATAGGGAGGGAGGGAGGGAGATGCAATAGGGAGGGGATATGGGGATATATGTATACGTATAGCTGATTCACTTTGTTATACAGCAGCAACTAACACAACAATGTAAAGCAATTATACTCCAATAAAGATGTTAAAAAAAAAAAAAGAAATCAACACTCTCCAACTCAACTGATAGTAGGATAAGTGGTAATGAATTTTCTAACAGGCCAGTACACAGTATGTATCAAAAACCTTAACTGTACGCAAGCCTTTAATCCAGAAATTCTACAGTTCATGACTTTAAAAAATCACCGTGGGTTTCTGCGAGGACTGATGTACAGATGTTGCCTATATTATTATTTTATGATAGTGAAAAATTCAAAAGAATCTAAATATTGTGCATATTTCCAAACAATGTTCTGGAAATAATCTACAAAATAATAATCTTATAAAGGTACATGGAATGTGTTCTAATAAAAAAAGTTTAAAATATGCCGGAATGCATTTGACAAGAGAGAGAACACTTTCAAATGGAATCAGTTAGTATGTTTGTACTCTGAAATATTACTTAGATGACAAAGATATTTTAGAAAAAAAAATGTGTGTTTGTGTATTAATGATTGCACATTAAATAGTTAATAGTGATTCCTTCTAGATAATGGGCTTAAAGGTGATTTTTATTTGTATTTTAGAAATTTTCTACAATAAATATGCATCTTCTTAAATAGTTTCTTAAGCAAAATTAAATAAATAAGTGTCTACTTTGATATTCATGCCAAAAATGATAGAAATATTTTATGTGCTCTGGAATGATTTAAAGTGCCTAGAAATTATCTGTTACTTGAATATTAGATTAAATTTGTCGATAAGATTATCTGTGCTTCATACCTTTTTAGCAGTAGTGTTTTTGATATATTTTTTCCCACTTCTTCTATATGCTACCGTTTCTTGAGTCAATATTGGCAAAATACATTTTCGTTTCTAACATCCTCATTTTCAAGATTATTAGCATAGAGTAGATACACATTCAGTTATTTTTTTACTTCTGAATCTGTGATTGTTATGTTTGTCGTGTGTAATATTGTGTATTTGTGTTTATTTCTTATTAGTTGTACCAGAGCTTTTGGGTTTTATTTATTTGATAGAGTATATTGTATGCTATACCATATTAATAACCAATAGAATAAATCCAAATGCCCTCTACAGAGAAAGAATTGAATTAAAAATAGTTAAATAACATATAACTTCTCACTTAAAAGGAGAAGTATGTGGACTATAATAATATATGGATACATTTATTGAAATAGCATTAATTGCGAAGAGCAGAGGTCATAATATTGTGGCTATCTAATCTGCGATTGTGTAAAAACATGTCTGTACATTAGCAAATATTAGACAAGAGCAGAAGTGTTCTGAATAGTGACATTTTGATCATTTTTTAAACTGGTTACCCAAATTCATAATTGGATATAACTTTAAGAAACTGAGGTTTTAACTTGCTGTCCCTTTTCCCAGGCATTCCTTGTGGGCCACCCCCGGCCATCGCCAATGGAGATTTCATTAGCACCGACAGAGAATACTTTCAATACGGAACAGTGGTGACCTATCGCTGCAATCTTGGAGAGAGAAGGCAGAAGCTGTTTGACCTCGTGGGTGAGCCGTCAATATATTGCACCAGTGAAGACAATCAAGTTGGCATCTGGAGTGGCCCTCCCCCTCAGTGCATTGCACCTAATAAATGCACGCCTCCAGTCATTGAAAATGGAATAAGGATGTCTGAGAACAAAAGCTTATTTTCTTTACGTGAAAGCGTGAGGTTTAGGTGTCAGCCCGGCTTTGCCATGAAAGGACCCTCCACTGTTGAATGCCAGGCCCAAAACAAGTGGGGGCCGGAGTTGCCCAGCTGCTCCAGGGGTGAGTCTGACTGAGGCTTTGAAGGGGCCTACAAATGACGTGAGTTGTAGGAGGATCAGGAGGTTAGTGTCGGTTCTCGGGGGAGGATGTGTGGTGAGCAGTGTGAGTAAATTTGGGGCAAGGAAGCACAAAATTAATAAAATGTGTGTTTGCACTTGTGTGTAAGTGCCTTCATTTTGAGAAGCAAGAGTTTAATTATTCAAGGAAGGAGACATTTGGGACTCTCATATTGAGGAATTCTCAAGGCAAAGTACCAGTTCCAATATCTCTCAGTTGTATTCAAGAATGATATGGACTTTCTGGTCAGCTGTGTAATAATCTTGTTTACTCTTTGCAACACTCCTTTGAAATAGTGCTATCCTTATATCCATAGGACAGTGAAGTTAGCTTGGTCTTTCAGAGGTTAAATAAGTTGTCTAAATTATGTGCTACTAAGTGGCATATCCAGGAATAGAATGCAGTGTGTCAGCCCCTAAAGTTGAATGCTCTGGTTCTTGACAGAACTTTGCTTTATAGAATTCTACTTTTATCAGCATTTATCACAGAAAGAAACTGGCTTATGAAGAAAGATATCATAGCCTCAGAATAGTGGCAAAGACTTTAGAGTTTGTTTTGGTCCACCTCCTACATTTTATCATTAGAAATCTGAAATTGAAAGTGCAAGTAACTTGCTCAAAGCCAAACAGATTTTTCATTCATCTTTAATTAGGTACAGGTTAAGTTGAAGTTCAAATGAGTTCTAATGCCCCTAGCACATACCAAAAGGACTGTGAATGGAGGCAGCCACACCTTGAGTTGAATATTCTCTAAGAAATGTGTCCTGTCATTACAAGGACTGGCTTATTTATGGGATTTTGTTCTCAATGGCTGGTCTTGTCTTCTTATGCCACAATAGCTGGCATAAGAAGGACTGTAGAAGTGGATTGGTAAATATTGTGGTTGATACTAGGGACAGAGAGGGAGCTTACAGTTTTTCCACCAACCCATATCAGCCTTGTACAACCAATGAGAGGGCAGCTGGGAGGACAAACAGATACAGTATGGGTAATTACTACACTTTGATCATAGAAGTGTGAAAAAAAGAGATAAGGGGAAATCTGTTAAGATTCAGGCTCAGGTAACCTTCTCATTACCTGAAAGATGAGGCTGTAAATTGTATTGCCTTTCTAGCAAATATGTGAGTTGGGTAGCCCACCAGTACTAGTGACTCTATACTAGAGAGCCAGCAGTGGAAGAAGAGACAGCATGCCTGGTGGACTAATGAATGTATTTTAGAACTTGTGCTGGGAAGGACTGGGTTCTAATTCTCTACCTTGTACTAGCTGTGAGGTTTTTGGCTACTTCTCTTCCCTATCCAGAACTTCCACATTAGTAAAACAAGGGGATTGGAGTATCATTTGACTTCCTTTGTTATACCTGTACCCCTTGGAAGGGTTAGAATTTAGCAAAAGGTATTTCCCTATAACTGACAGGTACTTTACTGTTCTTTACCCAGTATGTCAGCCACCTCCAGAAGTCCTGCATGGTAAACACACTCCAAGCCATAAGAACAACTTTTCCTCTGGGCAGGAAGTGTTCTACAGCTGTGAGCCTGGCTATGATCTCAGTGGGGCTGCTTCTCTGCACTGTACGCCCCAGGGAGACTGGAGCCCGGAAGCTCCCAGATGTGCAGGTGCCTATACTTTCTTCTGGTTTGCAGATCAATCTCTTTGTCCCTTACTTGGCTGTCTTACTCTTGTTTTTTTTTTTTTTTTCTAGTGAAATCATGTGCTGACTTCCTGGACCAACTTCCTAATGGACATGTGCTCTTTCCACTTAATTTCCACCTTGGGGCAAAAGTGTCCTTCATTTGTGATGAGGGGTGAGTGTGAACTGGAAAAGAGACCAGGGCCACACTGCCAGATGCTGATATGCTGATGCCCTGGGCAATGGGTTTTATCCAAACAGGAGGCTGACTAATGGAGAAAAAGTACTAAAAGAGACTAATATCTCAAACAGTGATTGGGAAGTATGGTAAGAACCAGATGGACCATGAACAGATGCTTAAAAAGGAAAAGTGGTAAATATACTGAACAGCAGAAACATAACAACAGAACTTGAATATTTAGGTGGAACATTAAGTGTTTGGATAAAATGGATAAATAGTAATTTGTAGGCATGAAGAGATACATATTCCAGAGGTTAAGTTCGATATATATATATGTATATGTATATATATATATATATATATATATACTCATATATGTGTGTGTATATATATATATATATATATACACACACATATATATGAAAGAAAGTTATTTATAAGACAGATGACATGCAAGGATTGTGTCAGGAAATTTTTTAACCAATCATTAGTGGCATTTGGAATAGGAACAAAAGAGTAAGCAGAAGTATTTTTAATCTGTAATAATTACATATCATCTAATTAGTATTAGGCTGTGTTGAAAGAGCATGAAGACTGCTGTTCATATTTCAAGTAACATCATTAACTCTTTGTGTGAATCTCAATGATCTTGATGTTATGTTCCAACACCATTGGCAGGTAAAAAGCATGGACAATAGAGCAGTTGTTCTCAGTATATTCCAAGGACTCTTGACAAGCATCAATTACCAGTCACCCAATAGAGGCCCAGAGGCAATTCAGGAGCCACTGGTCTGACAATAAACCAGATGTTTTAGGATGATTGTACTCCAAGGAATCCTGTCTCCTCACTGTTTCTTATTTTTCCTAGATAATTTGGCTTTACTCTTCAGTAATCCAGATATGTCAGAAGTCTCATTCAGGAACATTCCAAATGTATTGGCAAAAGGAACAGTCTCTGATATCTTTCCTCATGTTCTCTGATTTGCTTAAATCAGGAGTTGTTTTCCTCCTGGATTACTGAAAGAGGAAAATGCCACGCTTTGCATTAGAGGACAAAGTTTCTCCTAATGACAAATGGGGTCTTGTTAGAGAGCAGTCAGGGTAAGATGGTCTCCTGAAGGTCCAGGACCAGACTAAGGAAATGCCTGTCTATGTTTTTTGTACCTTCTTTAGTTCAGGCAAGTCTGATTACTGAGCTTTGACAGGTGTCATTGCTTTGTCCTCATTGGAAGCAGCAATTTTTTAAAATGTTTTGGTTTCTGAGCCTCTATCAGCTGAGAAACAAAATGGGCTGAGCTTTTTCTTTCATTTGGGATTTAACTTAGGCATTAAATTGTGTTTTAGCAGAAGGGAAGTAGCTGAGATCTGTCAGTGGATGGAAGAGAGAAATGGTGTGCTCATCCAGTCACTACTGCTTTTTGTTCCTTAGGTTCCAGTTAAAGGGAAGCTCAGCCAGTTACTGTATCTTGGTTGGAATGAAAAGCCTTTGGAATAACAGTGTTCCCGTGTGTGAACGTAAGTAGAAAGAATATCTGTTCAGGTCTGCATCTTTCTCCTTGTTTTTTTCATTTTCTTGTTGCATTTTACCATATGAAATTATCTAATGTCTGTCCCTCTGTTTATTTTGTTTTTGATACAAATATTTATTGTTGAAATAGTTACAAAGAATGTTTTTTGGGGAAATAAACCTGAACATCATGGGCTTTGTGTGTCATTCTATAAATATTTATAAACGTACTGTGTGCTATAAATGGGAAGAAATGCTTCACAGATGGGGAGAAATTTATGGCCTGAAGCTTTGTCAAATGTTCCCTTTTTCCTTCTCAAAAATGATAGTCACACTTCAGCTTTTTTTATCCTTTCTTCAATCATCAATCCATCATATACACATTCTTTCAACAGATTTTTTTTTGAGTAACTACTATGTGCCAACCAGTCTTCTAGATACTAGGAATATGCCTGTAAACAAGACAGCCTAGGTCCCTGCTCCAATGTTGTTTATATTCTTGTGCAGGGAGAAAGG